CACATTATTTGAAAGTTTGGGAAATAAGTGTTACAATATAGATAAACAATTGAAATAGTCATTTTTTTTCCTTCTAATTTTGTTTCAAATTGCATTGTGAATGTTCACATTGATATGAATTTAGTTTTTTTAATGTTAGTTGTATGTTAATTGTGAACATTCACATTGTATTTTGGTATTTATTTTTTTTAAGTTTTTTCAAAAATTAGTTATATTTTGTTTTTTTTTTTTTACTATTCTTGTTGATTGAACAATCATTTTTGTTACCATTGAACAATCGAAATAGTCGATTTTTATTTTTTTCAATTTTATCTTATGTTTTCACATTGTAGTGCGAATGTTCACATTGGTATGAGTTTTTTTTTTTAAAAAAAAATTATATTAATTGTAAATTGTGAACATTCATGTTGTATTTTGGTATAAGTTTTATTTTTTCGAACGTTAATTATATGTTTTTTATTTTTGTTACTATGCTTTATTAGTTGAACAATCATTTTTGTTACCATTGAACAACTGAAATAATCAATTTTCACTCTTTTCAATTTTGTTTTATGTTTTCACATTGTAGTGTAAATGTTTACATTGGTATGAGTTATTTTTTTAAAGCTAGTTGTATGTTAATTATAAATTGTGAACATTCACATTGTATTTTGGTATGAATTTTATTTTTTTGAAAGTTAGTTGTATGTTTGTTGTTTATTGCGAACATTCACATTGTACTTTAGTATGTGTTTTATTTTTTCAAAAGTTAGTTGTATGTTTGTTGTTTATTGCGAACATTCACATTGTACTTTAGTATGTGTTTTATTTTTTCAAAAGTTAGTTGTATGTTTGTTGTTTATTGCGAACATTCACATTGTACTTTAGTATGTGTTTTATTTTTTCAAAAGTTAGTTGTATGTTTGTTGTTTATTGCGAACATTCACATTGTACTTTAGTATGTGTTTTATTTTTTCAAAAGTTAGTTGTATGTTTGTTGTTTATTGCGAACATTCACATTGTACTTTAGTATGTGTTTTATTTTTTCAAAAGTTAGTTGTATGTTTGTTGTTTATTGCGAACATTCACATTGTACTTTAGTATGTGTTTTATTTTTTCAAAAGTTAGTTGTATGTTTGTTGTTTATTGCGAACATTCACATTGTACTTTAGTATGTGTTTTATTTTTTCAAAAGTTAGTTGTATGTTTGTTGTTTATTGCGAACATTCACATTGTACTTTAGTATGTGTTTTATTTTTTCAAAAGTTAGTTGTATGTTTGTTGTTTATTGCGAACATTCACATTGTACTTTAGTATGTGTTTTATTTTTTCAAAAGTTAGTTGTATGTTTGTTGTTTATTGCGAACATTCACATTGTACTTTAGTATGTGTTTTATTTTTTCAAAAGTTAGTTGTATGTTTGTTGTTTATTGCGAACATTCACATTGTACTTTAGTATGTGTTTTATTTTTTCAAAAGTTAGTTGTATGTTTGTTGTTTATTGCGAACATTCACATTGTACTTTAGTATGTGTTTTATTTTTTCAAAAGTTAGTTGTATGTTTGTTGTTTATTGCGAACATTCACATTGTACTTTAGTATGTGTTTTATTTTTTCAAAAGTTAGTTGTATGTTTGTTGTTTACTTTGAACATTCACATTGTATTTTGATTTTCATTCAGATTTTTTATTGCCTTATTTTTAAAATTTTCAAATTATAAAAGGTTCAAAGTTCATAATTTGAGATTTTCTTTATGAAACGTGAGAGTGATTTTCTCCTTAGAATAAGGAAAAGATTTTCTCCATAGACTAGTAAAAGATTTTCTCTTTAGAATGAAGGTGAGATTTTCTCTATAAAATGATGAACTATTGTTATGTATTAGTTTCAAAATAAAAATATGTGCAAAAATTAGAAAATATGATTTGGTCATATTACATTAAACCATACTTAATGGAACATTCAAAAAAAACATGGGTTAGATAGAATAAAATACTTAGAAAAAGGATTTATCAAAAAACAAACCAAACACTATGAATTTCTCTTCTTCTTTTTTTAAATCTTTCTTCGCTAATCTCTAACTTTAAACAATTATTCACAAATTTCTTTAAATTTTTATGTGAATTTAATAATCTAATTAAAAAATAGTGCATACACACAAAAATATAACACTAAACATTTACATTATGATCAACTATTTAATTATGAATAATTAACTTCTCATTGTTACCCATATTATATTGTTGTGAAAGATTTCACATATTATTTTTGTGTATCCTATATATGTCAATGCATACATATATAAATATAAAAATATATATAAATGTATATATATATATATATATGTTACTATGTTAATACATTATCAATCTGTAATGTTATATTACCATCGGATACTTTGGAATAAGAAGTTGATAGCAATTTTTTTGTATAGTACTATATATTTAAATGACTTGTTTGTTATTTATTGTTTAAGATAAGATTGTGATCTCAACAATCTAGATATAAATTAATATTTATGCTTATAAAATTTCTTATTTATCATTTAAATTCTTTAATCGAATATGTATTCATTTCTTACTTAGTTGTATGTTGGATATAGATCAATTTACCCATAGAAGTCTACATACTTTGTATACATATTACATACCAATTTAAGAGACTCGCATAATTACAGTACTTACAATTGATGAAAAATCACGTACCATATGCAATACACGTGCCCAACCACTAATATTTAAAAAATATAAATGCAAATAATAACTAACTATAAATAATACATTTATATAATAGTGGTGATAGATATTATTATTTTAATAAAATATTATTGACGTTTTTTTTAGTATATTTATATGTTATATATATAATTGTATAATCAAAATTTTAATTATAACTATCGTCTCATCCGTAAGCATAAATTTATAAATTTTTCAACTCGCTAAGACTCGTGAATAAATTTGAGCTCGATTCAAATCTAAATCAACTCAACTCGAGTTCAATTTGTTAAATTTTTATCAAATTTGAATTCAAATTCATTAAAATTTTAATAAATAAATCTAAATATACTAAAACACAACTCAATTCGATTAGTTTAAAATCTTATTCGAATCATTAAAATATAATTAGAACAAGCTTCACCTGTTTGATGGCATGCACCGCGCACCCCAGGTCCCATCGTTTCGAGAGTTTTTTTTTAAAATATTCCAAAAAAAAAAATAATTAGAGATTTGACTTATTTTTCAAACTATTTAGGAAATTAACCTATTTTTTGAAATCGCATTTTCAAAATACAATTTTGAAATTGAAATTGCATTTTGAACATGCAATTTCACCTTAAAATCTCAAGTTGAAAATGATGATATGGTGATGAATTTGCATGTTCAACATGCGATTTGAAATCGCATTTTCAACATGAAATTTTAAGGTGAAATTGCATGTTAAAAATGCAATTTTAATTTCAAAATCTCATTTTCAAAATGTGATTTCAAAAGCAGGTTAATTTTCCAAATAGTTTAAAAAGCGGGTCAATTCTCTAAATAGTTTCTTTTTTGGGAATATTAAAAAAAAACTCCTCATTTCGAGGCAAGATTTTAAAATAAAATAAAATAAAATAAACAAATAAATAAATTGAGCATTTCGAGGCAAGATTTTAAAATAAAATAAAATAAAATAAACAAATAAATAAATTGAGAGAGAAGAAGAAGAAAGGAGGGACCACCGGCACCACTCTCCCGCGATCCACCCCACCGCGAACCCTCCCTCGCCTCTCCCTCCACCCACTGGCGCCATCACCTTCCCGTCATCGCCACCACAACCCACCTCCTCCATCTTCTTCTTCTTCTTTTTCTTCGTCATTTCTCTCTCAAAAATACCAAACCCATCGGCGCGAGCCTTTCCGGCGGCCTTTTCAATCCGACCACCCACCACCGCTACCCCCACAGCCGGCGCCCTCCGGCCTTCTCTACCCCAACCCCTACAAGCTCCAATCAACTCCATTCAGCGAGCACCCTTCACTCTCTCGATCTCGATCAAGATCTAGGGTTTTCATCGGTCCTACTCCGTAGCTTCCGCCGCCGTCGCAGCCCATGCGAAACCTAACCTCCTCGATTGGAAGAAGAACAAGAAGATGAGGAAGAGCAAGGAGGGGGGTGGATTTGAGACGGTGGTGCTATGGGGTTCGGAGAGTGGCGCTGGAGAGTGGGGGTCGCGGTGGTGTAGGTCGCCGGAGAGTGGCGCCGGTGGTGCCTTCTTTCTTCTTCTCTCTTAGTTTTTTATTTTATTTTATTTTTTTTAATGAAAAGTTTTGCTCCAGAAAGAGGCACCACAGGAATGCACTACGATCCAAATTGGATGGGAGCACGAAAGGAATGAATAAATTAATTAATTGATTCATGCAAGAGTTTTGTCCGAAACTATCTTGAACATGAAATGAATGTTTCAAGAATCAACTGAATCATCACCAGTATATATAAGCTTTACATTTCTACTTCAAGCCTTAACTGCAAGCCTATCAATCAATTTTTCGCAATGAATTGCTTATTAGTTTTCTTTTCGCTTACGAAAATCTTAACTGTTGATTCTCAACAATTAAGCACCTATTTCCTGGCCATACAATGGCCGCCCTCGTTTTGTCAAACCTGTGCACATCCAATTCCCAAATAGTTTAAAACACACGGCGGTGTTTGGCAATGATTTTTTTTGAGTTTTTTTTTTATTTTTTTCATTAAAAGACAATTTTTTTTGTAAAATCAAAAAAATAAATCAAAATAAAATATCACATCAAACTCCATAATTCTTTCACTTTTTTTCTTACGAACATCACATTCAACTACAAAAAAAATCCAACTATCTTTCCAAACGTCAAAATTTTTTTCTCCAATAATATCCTATAAGTAAAAAAACTTACATAAAAACCTACTTCCCAAAACCCACACAGACTGTGGGGGAAGGATTCTCGATTTTCTGCGGTGGCTCCTGCGGCGACGTCGTTTTTTCGACTTTTTGTTTTTTTCTTCTCCTTTTTGAGCCTCGTTTCCTTCTCTCCAAAGCTCTCAAATCAGAGAGACGAAGATGAAGAAACTGTTAAGTTCCTCAGCCTCCTCCTCCTCCTCTCTCTCTCAAACATTTCGAACCGTAATTGATCAATTTTTTGTGTGAATTTCAATAAGAACTTCAATCTGCTTGCTGAAATGCAAATCGCTCTCAGATTGAATGTTGAACGAGCATCACGAATGATTTTTAGAGTTCAATTAGCTTCCTTCTGTGTGTTGAATGCTCCAAAATACTCTGAATCTGTGCTCGATTAGTGTGGGAGGGATTTCTGAAGCCCCTCGGATCTGGTTCGATTGGATCGCTGCCTTCGTATTTGTGTTCAAAAGGCTAGAGTGAAGCCTTCTTTTTGATCAAATTGGTTCGATTCCTTCATATATGTGTTCAGAAGGTTTGATTGAGGCCCTCTTTTGGTCTGAATCTCTCAAATTTGTGTTCGAAGTGGTTTGATTTGTACTGATATGAGTTTGATTGGCTTAAGTGTGGTTCGGATCTGATCTTGAATTGCTCCAGCAGTGTTCGTATCTGCAATTTTGGTATTTCTTTTGAATGAAATTCAGATCTGGTTCAACATTACTTTAAGAGGGGTAGATAATTTTGCCAAGATTGAACTCACTTTAAGAATGGTTAATTAATCCAATGCTCTTCACGCAGACAATTGTGCGAGACTCCGGGAATTTCAGATCAGTTGTTGTCAAGGGTTCATTATTTGAGACTCCTTGGCTTCCCTTTGCCAATATACTTCTCAATGCCATGGACACTGGCAATGCAACAGCATTCCCTACTTGTATATACCTACAAATTAGATGGAAATAAACAAATATTAGACACCTGAAAAGACTTTCGAATGAATCCACCAATTAAAGTGAGTTCAATCTTAAGTAATACCATGGATACTGGAAATGGAACAGCATTCCCTACTTGTATATACCTACAAATTAGATGGAAATAAACAAATATTAGACACCTGAAAAGACTTTCGAATGAATCCACCAATTAAAGTGAGTTCAATCTTGGATAACAGAAGAAGAGGTGTAGATAATTTTACAAATTTTGGTGATGGTGCTGGGTTGAATCCACCAATTGTATGATTGTTGCTCCTCTATCTCTGTAGGAAGAGTGAAGGCGGTTGATTTCAGGGAAGAAGAAGAAGAAGAAGAAGAAGAGGAGGAGGAGGGCGTCTTCATCTCTGATTTGAGAGCTAAGAGAGAAGGAAAAGAGGCTCAAAAGCAAAAGGAGGCACACAAAAAAAAATCCAAAACGACGTCGTTTTGGATCGCCGCAGGAGTCATTGCAGGAAACCACAGACGATTCAGACTCTTTTTGAGAATTCCTCCCCCACAGTCCGTGTATTTTAAACTGTTTGGAGATTACCACAGCAGACGATCCGGACTTTTCTTGAGAATCCCTCCCCCACAGTCCGTGTTTTTTGAACTGTTTGGGGATGTGCACACCCGCTGTTGGGGGTTTGACAAAACGAGGGCAGCCATTGTATGGCCAGTAAATAGGTGCTTAATTGTTGAGAATCAACAGTTAAGATTTTCGTAAACAAAAAAAAAAAACTAATAAGCAATTCATTATGAAAAATTGATAGATAGGCTTGAAGTAGAAATGTTAAGTTTATATATACTGGTGATGATTCAGTTGATTCTTGAAACATTCATTTCAAGAACTTGATTCTCCATATACTGCAATGAACAGTGGGCAAGTACGTATTAAATTTATGTTAATTTTACTTGCTGTTGTGTTTATAGGTATTTGTATATGAATATGTGTCAATTGTAGTGTTATTTAAGTGTGGACAGGTCTTATTTGTATGACAGAACTTTTGGAATGGAGAGGGTCATAATTTGGTGTGTGTATATTTTTGCATCGGGGTTTGCGTTTTGCTTAAAAAAAAAAAAAAAAAAAAAAAAAAAAAAAAAAAAAAAAACATTGATTAGTGACTTTGTTTGGATGGAGAGAAGAAGTAATTAATATACAATTCATAAATTTGTATTTGATTTTTTACTTAGAGTGAATTATTAGCAGTTCATGTAGCTTGGAGTTTGTGTTATTTTGACCACTGACCTTTTAATTGTGATATATTTGATCCAAAACTTTAAATCTCATTCTAAATAAAGATAATTGAAAACATTGTTGTTTCATTCTAAGGGCAAAGTCATCAGTTTAATAAAAAAATAACCTAGTTTGACAAAAATAAATGTCAAAAAAATATTTTTGAATTTTTAAAAATTATTTCTACCAATCAAAGATAAAATTATATAAAAATGATAACTTTTTTACATTTTTTTAAAATATTTTTTTACCAAATTAATTTTTAATATGTGTTTGAATAATGATCATGTAATGAATTGTTGTTTTTGTCAATTTTTTGAATGGTTATCATGTAATAAATGGTTATATTTGTTGTTAACAAATACGGTTAATATGTCATGGATGGTTATTAGGCTTTCAATATGTAATCAATATGTTTAATATCTGAAATATTTTTAATTTTGGATTTTTTGATTTAATGGATTAGTTTAATAATGACATCAAAATTGTCGCTATGTTTAATTTTTTTAAAAAAATATAAACTAATTTAACGAAAATAAATATACAAAAAATTATTTTAAAAAATTATTTCTACCCTCTCAAAAAATAAAATTATATAAAAAATAATGTGTTTTTAATTTTTTTTTCACTAATTAAATTTTTAGTTTCTTAGAAAAAAAAAATTGAAAATAGATTATGAAAACTAAACCAAACAGAATTTTTTAATCAAGAAAATTCCAACATTATTCATTAAAAAAAAAAGCCATTACATTTCAAACAACATATAAGTTAACTAATACAAAATAAATTGTATTACTATTTTGCCATTGAAATGGATTGTTACAATGGAAACATCATTGGTTGTCCTTGTTAAATTATCCTTATTTTGAACAAGATTCAAAATTTATGATCAAATGTATCACAATTGAAAAATCAGGAACTAAAGTGACACAAGTTCCAAACTACAAAGACTATTAGTGTAATTCGCCCTTTTACTTATGAGCAGTAAAAAAAAGAAAAAGAAAAAAAAAAGAAAGATTGAATATAAATAATCTGTATCTTATTTAAATAAGATACAAATTATTTTGCCATTGAAATGGACAGTTTGCAAATGAAACATCTTTGATTGTCCTTATTTGGAACAATATTCAAAATTTAAGGTTAAATGTATTACAATTGAAAAATTATGGACCAAAGTGACACAAGTTTCAAATTACAGAGACTATTAGTATAATTCACCCATTTACTTATGAGTAGTAAAATATATATATATATATATATATATATAAAAAAGAAAGAAAGAAAGATTGAATGTAAATAATTTTTATCTTATTTAAAAGATAGTATGTTATTTTATTTCATGCATAGCACCGATGATATGCTAGTTCATTAATATGAAAATATTGATTCTTTCTAATTTGGTATTGTTTTGTTTTAAATAACATAATAAGTTATGTACATGTGTAAGTTTTTTAAATTTGTTCTTTTCAAAAATCTTTAATGATACATAAACCTTAATTTAAATTTCAACAATAGAAAAACTTCATGTAATCAAAATTTTCATAATTGGTTAGTTACTTTAAATACAAAATAGTTAGACATCTTCTAGGCAAGTATCACAATTACTATTTTTTTATGGGGAAAAAAATAATGTATAAGCATAATCAAATTATAAATACATCAAATTTTTAATCGAACAATGTTTAGTTATACAAAACATATGATAAAAAAATTAATTGTGTAAATTTACTTAAGGAGTTTAACCATTTGTGACAAAATTAGTATCATGCAAATTAATATGTTTGGACTTCGTTAATGTATATTTAAATATAATCAATTTACAAAAAAATTATTCATAAGCAAGAATAAAAACTTCATTTATACTATTGCTATTTATCTCCAATGAAACAATAATTAGTATTTTTAAGAATAAAAGCAAACTATAGTTCAAAAATAAATAAATAAATAAAACTGCAGAATCTGAACAGTGATGACCCACGGAGCGTGCTACTAATTTCAATTGGGTTAATTACACTTGACAACTTGTAATTTTATTAAAATATCAATTTAGTTTTTTCACTTTCAAGTGTGACAGTCCGTTCATTTGTTTTGATATAAAATATTTTGTCAAAAATGTTTTATTCATTTTTTATTGTTTGGTTAAACAAAAAACAAGTAAAACATTTTTGAAGAAAAATATTTTTGTATCATTTTTTCAAAAATGATTTATTTTTAAAAATTTCGTAAGTTAATTTTTACAAAGTTGACTCGCACTGACTACTTTTTTAATATATTTAGTCTTTTCAAATAAATATTTTAACTCACTAAAAAGTTATAAATGATACTTTATTGAATCAAAAATTTTCTTTTAGGCAATAAATTATCTTTGTTTCTAGTGTCAACCATGCTGAAAAATAAAATCAATTTTTTTTTTTTGTGTAAAATCAATTTATAAAAAAAAAAAAAACAAAAAATTGTGTAAAATATTTTATGTAAAAACCAACCAGAGCCATCAATGTTAAGAAATTCGGAGTGCATTAATTTGCTCACGAATGTGCAACAACATTAAATCTACTAGGAAGAAACTCTTGAGTCTGCATGTGTAATATTAGCATCCAGCATACATTGTTTGTAACTTATACTCGTTTAAAAGTTTAAGCCTACAAGTGAATAGTTCATCCAATATATATTTTCTATGAAAATTAAAATTAAAATTTTAAATTTTACTAGATTTAATTTTATCAAAGAAGTGCCATTTGCTCCAAATATTTTTATCTCTAGATTACTTAAGGTATAAAATTCTAACATAGTTTCATGTTATTCAAAAGATTTGGTATAGTTAATGGTATAATGATTTTGACAAATATAGTTTTCTTCGTACAAATGTGTAATCTTGGATTTCTAATGAAGTTTTGATGAACTTTAATTCCCCAAACAAAATGTCTAAGCCTCTGTTTGGCAATGCAAATTGGAGCTAAAATAGCTACTACGGGACAAAAGAGGTTAAAGTAGCCAAATGGAGACAAAAGCCACTGTAATTGACTGGCAACAACCCACTTCAAGGTAAATTTACCAAACTACCCCCACATGAAAAACTACAAATAAAAACAAATTAATGTATACAAATAAAAAAAAATGACAAAAACGTAAATTAAAAAAAAAGAACCACAAAAATACGCCTCATCCACAAAAAAAAAATTTAAAAACAGAAATTAGCATTTGCCATGTAATTTTAAAAAAAATATAACACATGAAAACCCATTTTTGAAAAATAAAAACAAGTTAATGTATACAAATAAAAAAAAATGACAAAAACGTAAATGAAAAAAAAAGAATCACAAAAATTCGCCTCATCCAAAAATTAGCATTTTCCATGTCATTTAAAAAAACATAAAAAATCCTTTTCCAAAAAAAAAAAACAAATTAAAACAAAAAAAATTGAAATTATCATTTTTCGGGTCATTTGAAAAAAAAAATAAAAAACATAATAAAGCCTTTTCCAACAAAAAAAAAACAACAACAACAACAACAAAAAACACATTAAAATAAAACTGAAATAAGCATTGTCAACGTCATTTAAAATTAAAAAACAAGAAAAAACCTTTTCAAAAAAAAAACTAAACAAAATAAAAAGTCAATAAAATGAAACGAAATTAGCAGTTTCCACGTCATTTCAAAAAAAAATGAAAAAGCCTTTTCCAAAATAAAAAAAACAAATTAATATATATATATATATAAAGACAACAACATAACACCCACATTTACATTTTCAACGTCATGTTAAAAAAAAACAAAACATAAAAAAGCTTTTTCCAAACCCAAAAAAAAAAAAAAGCAAATTGAAAACAATAAAAAAAATGACAAAAACGTAAATGAAAAATAAAACCAAAAAAAAACGCCTCATCCAACCAAAAAAAAATAAAAAATAAATTTAAAAACAAAAATTAGTAGTTGCCATGTAATTTTAAAATAAATAAAACACATGAAAAACCATTTTTGAAAAATAAAAAGAAATTAACGTATACAAATAAAAATAAAAATGACAAAAACGTAAATTAAAAAAAAGTATCAGAAAAATACGTCTCATCCAAAAATAAATAAAATAAAAACAGAAATTACCATTTGCCACGTAATTTACAAATAAATAAAACACATGAAAATCTTTTTTTGAAAAATAAAAACAAATTGTTGTATACCAATAAAAATAAATAAGACAAAAACGTAAATTAAAGAAAAAAAAACAAATTAATGTATACAAAAAGAAAAATGACAAAAACATAAATTAAAAAAAAACCCATAAAAATACGCCTAATCCCACAAAAAAAAATGAAAACATTAATGTGTACAAATTAAAAAATGACAAAAACGTAAATTAAAAAAAATAACGAGAAAAATACGCCTCATTCAAAAATATTTAAAAAAAAAACATAAAAACATAAATTACCATTCGCGATGTAATTTAGAAATAAATAAAACACATGAAAACTCATTTTTGAAAAATAAAAAAAAATTTATTGTATACCAATAAAAATAAAAAAGAAAAAAAACATAAATTAAAGAACAAGAACTAATTAATGTATAAAAAAAGAAAAATGACAAAAAAATAAATTTAAAAAAAAAACATCAAAATACGCCAAATCCAAACCCAAAAGAGAAAAAAAAAAAAAAACAAAACAATTTCGGTCCAATTTATTTCTGACGTGGAGGACCAAAAGAAATGAGTTGACATGTAAAACACATGTGAAGGGCAGTTTGGTAGTTTACCATG